AGGTAGAACATGAAACTCATAATGACATCATTATGAGGTCACTTAAAAGTCATTTTAGAATCATTTTGGAATCATAATGATCTTATTTGATATACTTTTGGCAATGTTTTTTTGACTTATTTTTGATATTATATTGACTATATGTATATATATTATATATACATATAGTCAATATGTAGTATATATGTATATATATTATAGTATATATAGTATGTATATGTATTATATGTATATTTTAATTATATTTAAGCAACATAATCTTTTTAAAATTATATAATGCGATTATTGAACTTAAAAATTTATGATTCTTTTCGTCATCTTTAACTCATTTTTTAATCATATTTGTTTAGTCATATTGTTAACTTTTAATTGATAAATAAAATCATGATGACGTCATAATGATATCATTATGAATTTCATGTTCTACCTGGGTAGGTACAAACATCCTTAACAAAAAAAAATTAAATTGTCAGACGATGTATAAATAATTCTTAGATTAAATTGACGGTTTTACACTCGAGATTTAAAAATTACGATTCTTCATTTTTACATCTCAAATCAATATTTTTCGAAAAATAAAAAATGATACAGATATCGTGCTTGTTACATGCAGGACGAGCGTAAACAGCGGCATTTTGGCTGTATTGTGTTGCCTTGATGTGCAGCAGAGCGGGTAGCAAGCGATGGAAATTTGTCGTTCAACCGAACGTGCCGCGCTAATTAGGTTTAACTTGACTCGCTTTAATAATCCAAACAGTACGCAAAGTGCATCGCGCGCATCCTTGCACGCCGCGCGAATCCTGGCCGCATGAGCGGCCGCGACATTAGCGTCACCATAGCCGCGAGCGGGTGACAAATTTTGCAAGAGCCACCCCTCTCCTCCGAAGCTCCTCTCGCCCAGAGAATTATTAATGCGTCTCCCGGAAGCCAGGTTACGAGGCGAGCAAGCGCGCGCGCTCCCGCGAAATTAGCGAGCTGCAAAGCGGCGGCGGTTCCGCGCTACAAGCGGATTCCGATCGAGATAATGAAAATTAACGACGTTAAAGCACCGTCACGCCTGCAATTAATTATCGTCGCGGTCCTTACTGCCGATCGGCCCACACGCTACACCGCTCTCCTCCGCTATTGCTACAACATAATCGCGATATCAATCCTTCATTAATTCCCGGAGCCAAAGGACGATGCGCGGTCCAGGACTTTCCTCCGTGCGCGAGCCCGGCGCGATTAATTCTGCGGGATACTCTATAAAGCTATGCACAGAGTGTCCTGCCATCATCGGATATTAATGATGCGTTGCTCGAGTTAGCGAACGCTGGGAAGTTTTACGGTCGAGAAATCACCCGCGTAATAGCGTAGCTGCTATCGAGATTTGTTGGGCTAATTTGATCAACTGATTCACTGAGAAAAAAATCTGGTTGCATTAGAATTCTGGTAGATTCAACCAGTATGTCTGTTGGAAAATGGACGAATCAGAATTCTTGTAGGAATTATCAGATGAATCTGATTAATTTCTTCCTGTTAAATTTATCAAATTTTTTGATTAATAATACTAAACTCGTCAGCACCAAGTCCAGCAGTAAATCCAGATTATTGAATAAATTATTTTAAATTCAGTTTGTTAGAAATTAAACTGATAAACAGTGATGCAAGAAGAGGATGCAGCTCAAACACATACAATCAGAGAGCTAGCGTCCTCTTTCTGGCACTCCTCTACTGCTCGTAAGAAAAAAAAATGTACTTTGGATTTAATGTTAGTACTAGTTCTTTATATACATTTCATGGCAAGTATTGAATACGAGTTAAATTAAGAAGCAAGCAAAGAAATTAATGTAACAAGAAATTTTATAGATCCAACCAGAAAATACTAACCAAACCCTTATAAAATTCTAATAAAATCTATTAAAATCTATCATCTAAAATCTATTAAACGTTCTAGTTATTAAAAAATTGAGTCTTATCATGATATCTAGAAATTCTTGTTTGATTTAACCAAAATGCCTTCACTCATATACGTCTTGTTGATTCAATCAAACGATTTTTCTCAGTGTTCGTTTTTATTTCGTGTTCCCTTGACTGAATTTTGGATGAAATAATTACTAAAATTGATAGTTGATTTCGATAAAGGAGATACAGCTATTATGGATTAAATGTGAAGTGACGATTTAAATCTTTTGTTTATGGAAAGAGAAATTTCTGGAAAATGTATGTACAATATTTCGCTTTACTATCTTTATGTAAAATTTTCGGAACACTCTTCATATACACGCGGAGAACTATCGAGCTCTATGAATTATACATCGCATGACGATAGCCTCATCGCAAAGTTTCTCCCGCGAAGATAATCGCCGATACGCAAACGGAGAGATAAGGCAAACAAACGAAATTCTTAATAAAAAGACAGCAATAATAGAATTAAATTCCGATGCGGGTTGATCATTTTTTCCGAGAAAAAAATTTCCTTTTCTCAATAGCAAGTTAATATTTTTCATCTCATGCATATACGTTAAAGTAGTCATTTTCTTGTATTCAGGAAAAACGGATTTAGTAGATCTGATAAACACATCAATATATCCAACTTATTATAAAAAAATATATTTATTTAAAATTATTTTATATTATTTACAAATACTTAAAAAAATTTATATTTATTGAGAAAATCTTTTCTGTGAGAAAGATTTTAATATTTAAATACGATGATATAGATATATTACTTTAGTATAGAGAATAAAGAAATCTATTCAAACTTCCTTGATAAAATTCGTTTTATAAATATATCTAAAAGAACTACACTTTTATACACTTTTATATATAACTAACGAAATATAAAAATTATTATATTTTAAAAGTAATTTATTAAGAATGTGTGTAACAAGAAAAAAAGAGATAAACATATATATTACCATTAAACATATCAATTTGCTTAATTATCATAAGATTACTTATATATATATATATATATATATATATATATATAGATATATATATATACATATATATATATATATATATATATATATATACAATATAAGTAATATATATTACTTATATATATATATATATATATATATATAAGTAATATTTAATATAATTATATATATTCAGAATTATATATATATATATATATATATATATATATATATAATTCTGAAAAATTTTAAAAAGAATATTAAATAAAAAAATAAGTGTTTTATAATTCTTCGCCCAAATTTTAAAATTGATAAAAATTGATTAACTTTTTATTTTTCTAATATATCAAAAATTCATGTATTCTCAAGATGTTAAATTTATTTTCACTATTTGACTTTTCTACAACTATTTATGTTTTCATAAAAGCAGTGTTAAAAAAATTTTCTTGAATCTTCCTTTTTTTTCTAATCAATGATGAAAGAGAGAGGGAGAGAGAGTTTAGATATAATTATGAAATTTAAAGCATACAAGCAATAAACTCTTCGTTTCAAAAACTATTGTTTAGAGTGCGTAAACAAGTTATAAATTGTATATCTGCTGTGTTTATACCTAAGCATAGTAATAAAGTCTTTAATCTCGTTAATAACCCTAATGATATCTCAGTTAAAATTTTAACTCGTGTCTCGTGCATCTGGCGTTCAAAAACGCCGATTATAGGAAAACACGTGTGGAGCACGTGTACATGCTAGGCTGTAAAAAGCAATGACTTCTTGGCATTGTGCCGCACTCAAGGATATCTTCCAGATTTTTAAGTACTTTCTTTGTATGTAATATATGTACGCGTGTGTGTTTGTGCGCCATTTATTCAAACTATTTAAAGCAAATTTATGATAATTATATGCAAATTAGTTGATTGAATAATGGTGATTTACATATATCTATCATATTTTGTTATTATATATTTTTAATAAATTATATATTTTATAAAATATATTAATTTCTATATTTCACTAATTTTATATATATATATATATATATATATATATATATATATATATATATCAAGGATTTTTTCTTAATAAGAAGTAACATAATTTTTATGTTACACATACATGCACTTAAATCGCTTATTTTAATTATCTTAAAATCTATAAGTTTTAGAAGAAAACTTTTTTTAGACATTCAAAGTTGTTTGATTCTGAAAAAGAAAAAAAAATAGGAATATTAGTTAGATTTTTAAGGTGATGTCGTTAAGATTATAGTCATCTTGAAATTTTTGAAAATGAAAACATCCATTTTTTATCTCATTTTTATAGCTTACCTCGAAAGTTTTCCAAAATATTATAATAAAGTATTTTTTTATCAAGTGTATTTTGAGTTACGAGATTTGAAATAATTTCTTGATTTTATATAAACTATAAAATATCTCATAAAATTATTCCCTCCTTTCGATATCTTATCTCAATATGTTTATGTACAAATTAATAAGAGGTATCAATTGATGTAAAGAAAATACATAATTATTTCCAAGAAAAAAATGTAATTTCCAATTAATGATTATATATTTTTTCTTGAAAACAACTGTGTGTCTTCATTATCATTTGATTCCTCTCATTATTTTGTGTATAAAAGTATTGAGGTAAAATCATATTATCCTAGACAAAAGTGAAAATTTTACGAGATATTTTATAATTTATATAAAATTAAGAAATTATTTGGTCTGATAATTCGAAAGTACTTAATAAAAAAATACGTTATATGTTTTGTAAAAATACATACACGTTATATGTTTTTCTATGGATTTTGAGATATTTAAAATGATCGATTTAAGTGAATCACTCTGTAAATATTTGATATAATATACTCTTTGTACATATCTGATATAATATACTCTGATATAACATATTACAATACTTTGTTTGTAAAAGGAATAAAAGAAAAATTATTTTCTACTCTCTAAAATGAATAAGATCGGTCATGAAAAAGAACAAATATTTTCTCATGCTATTAAAATAGTTTAAATCGTAGAAAATACTTTAAAATTTATTTATCAAATAAGTAATAGAAATATTAACGAAATGTTGCAAATAACATATAATATAGAATATTTTATTGTCTTAAAAATTTCTTGAATTTTTGAATATCGATTGAAGTAGCAAGAACATCCATAATTAAATATTGAGCATCATTAGGATCTGATTGAGCATTCATCACCGTTGTCATTTTGTACAACCAGCTGGCTGCAGGACTGCCTGATTCTACCCTTATACGTGTGCGTAATAATCCAGTGGTGACTAAAAGAACTTTTTCTATTTTTTGACGTAACAAATCGATTCCTGTAAATATTTAAATAGTCTCGACAAGCTGTCTCCTCAAATTGCAATTCTAGTCTTCACTGGTAATAATGAATTCTAATCGTACCTGTTAAATTCGTAGCAGAAATGGCGATTGCATCTTTGGGTATGCAATCGCTTTGAACGAGATCACATTTATTTGCGACATCGATTATCGGATGAGCCTCTTTTATCATGGGTTTTATCGTTTGCTGAACGTGTTGATATTGTGCTTTCATATCAGGGTGGCTGACATCATATATATGAACTATAACATCCTAGAAAAGTTTAAAATTAAAAAATTTTTTCTGTAAAAGGATAATAATATAGGTCGATATATAAATATTTATATGTAATGCTTACAGCAATCATGGCATCTTCCAGAGTTACAATAAATGGTTCGATCAAAGTTTCTGGCACATCTTGAATGAATCCAATAGTATCCATGTATAATACCTTCATTCTGTTGGGTAAAAGTCCTCCATGCGCACTTGTATCAAGGGTTGCAAATAATTTATTTTCAGGTTGAAGAGATTTGTCATCCGTAAGTGCTTTTATTAAGGAAGTTTTTCCTGCATTTGTATAACCAACCACAGCAACTGTGGGAAAACCATGCTTCTTACGCTGACTTCTGATAACTGTTCGATGCTGTTGTAATTTTTTTAATTCGTTGTTCAATTTCTTCTCTCTATTGTCAAACATAAGTTTTAACTTTTCCGTCATTATTATACCATTGCGAGTCCTGGATGTTTCCAGTATTTTTTTCCGTACATATGGTATTTCTGCTATAGCTACTTGCAGCTTTGCTTCTGGGCTTTTTGCATGCTGACGAAATATGTGGATAACTATGGAATAACGATCGTATACTGGTAGACCAAGAATTTTTTCCAATTCAGCAATTTGAATAAACTTTAACAGATTAGTACTGACAAATATAGCAGTTGGGTTTTCACATTTATATAATTCTTTCTTTAGGTTTTCCATTGCACCAGTACCTAATAAACTCTTCCTTTGTAGCGAAAGTAATGGAGCATACTTTGCACCAACTACACACCAGTTGGATAAAGTATTTATGAGTGCTACGGCTTCAGCCATTTGTAGTTCTGGCGAAGTGTTTCTCTTCTTGTCTCTACCCCATTTTATGTATGGCTGTAAAATGAATGCCCTGTGTCCTCCAAGTGCGGTACCTAAATATTGATTGGAGATTTTTGTATATACTTCTTGATTCTGATCGTCAGCATACTCTTCAGAATTATGATTGAAACGGTAAACAATGTTTTGAAGCAATATTCTTGATGTTTTATAGATTGTGTTGGTTTTATCATACCCTTGTAAATTCTGCTGTGCAATATTTAGAATCTTGCGTATGCAATGCATTTTACATCTACAAAATTATTAGATTTTATAATTGATATAATAATTATTAATCATATGAATTAAAATACAAAATATTTAATATTAGATATAATTTCATTATATCTTGTGTATAAAGTCACTTAACCTTCTTGCTAATGTGCATTAATATTTTTCACTTCATTTTTATTATTTACATAAAAACAAAATTATTAGATTTTATAATTAATATAATAATTATTAATCATATGAATTAAAATACAAAATATTTAATATTAGATATAATTTCATTATATCTTGTGTATAAAATCACTTAACCTTCTTGCTAATGTGCATTAATATTTTTCACTCCATTTTTATTATTTACATAAAAAAACACAATTATTATATAATTATTATATAAGACTATTATAGACGAAAAGTACACAAGATAAGCAATTTATAAACACATTTAGAGAGAATCACACTGCCACTTTGAGCGAGGTTATGTTAATTCTTCATTTTTTGCGAGATAAATATGCACATAATATTTCATACAACTTTTTCATATAATGCAATCTTGCTCATCAGAATTATTCCACGTGCATATATAATGCTAGAATATATATATATATATATATATATATATATATTATATTAAATATACATGGCTCTCGATCAATTATGCGAAAACGATTAGCATTTCCTCGATCAGCTGATTGCAGCCAATTTTATATCCTTGTATTTCATTCGAATTTCCGCATGTAAATATTACGCACATAAATATATTATGCGAATAAATGAATATTTATGCATTTAAACGATTTTTCAGCACTGCCAGCACCGGCGATCGGAAGCACAGCTGATCGCTATCGCGTTTCATTCACTTACACAACACGCAAGAGTGTGCCACGTGACAGCCACTTATCAGCTGACATGACATGCTGCGCGTTTCCGCCTGCGAAGCGTAGTAGCTAGTAATCGCTAGTAGCCAGTATCGCGAGATCGACGTTCGCGGGTGCCTCGCAGCCGAGATGGAGCCAGGGACGCTGGCGAGGGTGTTGCACGACTTCCTCACCACCGTCGACGGGGAGCTGAGCCTCTCCAAAGGACACTATTTCCTGGTATTTGCCGTAAATGTTTGTCGCATAACCTGACAAATAGTCAAATGTAAACAGAAAAAATAGAATAGCTTTCTTGTTTTAGATACATGAGATTTTAGACAAGCATTGGTGTCTTGGTCAGTCTCAAGACAGAGTCGGGAAATTTCCCTTGAGCCATTTGCATAAAGTGGAACTCCCTCAGTTTAATGAAACAGAAAGAATATTTGTCGCTATAGCTGCTTTTCCTGGCCAGGAAGCTGGAGATTTGTCCTTCGCACAAGGTGAAATTGTTATCAAAAATATTGTATCAATGTTATCACAAATTTTAGAAATTTGGAGTTAATCTTTAATAGGAATTTTCAAGACAACATTTTTTAATATTACATTTTAACATATTGTGGGAAAGGGAATAAGCCTAAAATATTATTAATAAGAATAAAAAAAAGTCTAATAAAAATAATTAAATTTAGTATAGAATATTGAAGAATAATTTTAAATTCTTTAATTAAAAATGTAAAAATAATATTTCATATTATAATAAATTGTGTGGATGTAGAATATATAATTGAAATTATATATTTTTTTGGAATTTTATAGGGGATCTTATTATTGGAACGAGGGATATAGGTTCAGGATGGTGCACGGGCAGAACAAGCTCTAAAAGTGGTATTTTTCCAACAACACATACATGGGAACTAGATACAGCATTGATAAAGGTAGTTTGAAAAGATAATGATATAAGAAAAAACTTAAAAGATAATTATATAACATCACTTGTATATTACATCATCTATATCATTGAATCTTGATGCTAATAATATATACTTTTTACAGACAACAATAAAAAAAAAGTCAATAAGAAAAAGAGCAAAGGTTAAAACAACACTGAAAGCGCAACTCGATGAAGAATTGGATCTGAGTGCAGGAGAAGTTGTCACTGTTATAGAAATTTTAGACGATGGCTGGTGTCGTGGAATTACGGAAGATGGTAGGGAAGGCATATTTCCAGAAGGATTTATATCATACATAGATACAGATCAAGACACAGTTGATCAGGGGGAAATCTCATGCGCAACACAGAATAATACATCTTTTTCGACATCTCGCAATAGCACCATTTATAAGGATTTTGGTGAAACTGCTATCATAAATTCTTATATGAATGTACCTGATGAGCCTGCTCCAAGTTATTTTGATTTATTCCCAGATGCCTTATCAACGATCAACGATGAAAAAGACATACAGTGCAATACTAATGCGAATTTTACCGATATTAAACCATATGCCATAACTTTATATCCATTTAATGCACAGTTTCCAAATGAATTGAGTTTTGGAGTAGGTGAAGTAGTGCATCTCACCAGACACATTGATTCTGAATGGATAGAAGGTATGATTGATACTACTAAAGGCATTTTTCCATCGTCTTATGTCAATATTATAGTTGATTGTGCGGAAATCAAGCAGAATCAAGTTCAGTCTGAAGTTATGCCTGCGAAGAAAGATGCTCTGGAACCAGGCGTTACTGTAAGAGTACTGTTTACCTTTGACGCGCAGATGGACGGTGATTTAAGTGTTCACGAGGATGAAATTGTCACCGTGGTAGAAATGGCTAATGAGGATTGGGTAAATGTGAAAAACAAAAATGGCTTAATTGGCTTATGCCCACGAGAATATTTAAGTTCAATATCCGAACATTCCTCAGATAATCTACAAGAATCAAACTTGGAAGAATTTGAAGATTTTGTCTTAATTAGACATAAGGAGGCGAACGATGTTGTAAGTGAGGAGCAAAAGCCAAAGAGAATGTCGCAACCGCACAGACCAGCACCGCCAGCTCCGGCTCCAGGTAGAGTGCCATTACAGAAGGAAACTGTTGCGAGTGTACAAGTGTCTGCTCAAGAAAATAAATCTACAACTAGTAATACGATTGATATAAGGCAAAAACATGCGGATCAACGACAAAACGTTATATCGGAATTAGTTATAACAGAAAAGGAATATGTTCGCGACTTAAAGTTAACGTATGAAACGTTTAACTTGCACGATCCGAGTTTTCTTGGATTGAAAGGGATTGATGTCGTTACGTTGTTTGGGAATATTTTGGAAGTTATTCACATTGCCGAGGAGTTGTTGGATATGATTTTAAGAGCGATGAAAGATTGTGATGAAAGCTTGCAAACAATTGGACCTTGTTTTGTGAAGATGTCCGAGAAGTTAAAAAATGTTTATGTTAAATATTGTGGAAATCATGAAGCGGCACTAGCTTTGTTAAAAAAGGTATTTTACATGTATAAAATAAATGTAACTTTTTCAATTGCGTAAGCTTATCTACATATAAATTTCTGTTTATATTTCAGTATGAAAATAATGAAGAGATCATGAAAGTATTTAACAAGGGTATTGAAACATTACGTCGTCAAGTTGCTTGCTTTGATATGAGCTCTATTCTCATAAAACCAGTTCAAAGAATTCTGAAGTATCCACTAATGTTGTATGAATTAATAAAGGTCAGCAATTGATTATATAAAGCATAAGAAAGTATATGAATAGTATATTTTAAAAATAATAAAAATAGTAAAAGTATATGAATATTAATTAAATATATAGTATATTTTGAAAATAATAAATACAAGATCTTATTAAAATTTTAAGATCTCATTAAAATGTTACATATTTTAAAGAGATGTAATAGTATACATGTAATATATATATATATATATATATATATATATATATCTCTCAATTTTAGCAAAAATAAATTTAGATTACTTTCCAAAAGTAAATGCTCATACATATATGATCAAAATTATATTTGTATTATAACACTTCCATATAAAAATCATTTTTAGTGTACAGAAGACAATCATCCAGATAAAGCAGCTATAGAAGAAGCATGGAAAGCTATGACAAATGTAGCCAGTTATATCAATGAGTATAAACGCAGGAGAGATATTGTATCAAAATATTTAGAAAATGATAATACTTTAATTAGCAAAATGTCGAAATTAAATATGCACTCTGTAGCGAAAATGTCTACGAGGCTAAGCACAAGATTATCGGCGAGTCTGGGACTGACAAATATCGCGAGTGACACCGAGTTTGAGGAACTTGAAAAGCAGTTTCGCTCCATAGAAAAATGTACATGGCAATTAGCTAAAGATATTGAGCAATGTACCGCGCATTTGAGCGACGAAGCTATATCCGGTGAAGTAGTAGCCGAATTTTTAGTACATTATTACCAGGAAAGTCCGACTGCCGAGGTGAAAAAGCTACAAAACATAAGATCCATAATTTGGACTCAATATGTGCAAGACTTTAAATCCTGTATTGAAAAGAGAGTCAATGCACCACTGCATTCCTTAACCACGTTATTAGAAGGTCCAGCAATGTTGGTAGCGAAGAGGCACGATAAGTTATTGGATTACGACGCTGCTATTTCTAAGAGTGAGAAATATAAAGAATCAAAAATTGTAATTGTTTACATAATTTAGTATTTATCTGTTATAAAAGCGATGCCCGTATGACGCCTGTAGATTTAAAAAAAAAATCTTTTCACTCTTATGATTCACTTTACCTTTTGTTTCAGATACAAGAGGAATTATTTACCGCTAAGAGTAATTACGAAGCATTGAATCAACAATTGCTCGAAGAATTACCCATATTATTAGATGCGGTGACAAACATTTTAGTTAATTGCATAAGTACTTTCGCGAGCGCTCGAAAGTTATTAAGTGGAAGAATTACTAAGCAATATCTGACCCTTTGCGAGGTATCTATATAGAAGTTTGACTTTAAATTCCGAATTAATATGTCGATATATAGGGTGTTTCAGACCACCCATTTAAAAACTAGAGAAGTGGTTATTTCAAAAAAGTAAAAACATTTTCATCATAAATCGGGTGCGCTCTATCGAATGGTGATATTTTCAACTTCTGGTTCCGGCCGGAAATAGGCGATTCAGACCGGAAGTGCATTTTTTTAAATGGAACCCCCTATTTTTCATTGCATGTTCTTGTAGCTTATCCCGAGAGCTTTCCAAAACACTATAATAAATTATTTTTTCATGAAGTACTTTTCGAGTTTTGAGGCTTGAAATCATTTCTTAATTTTATAAAAACCATAAAATATCTTGTAAAAGATTCATTTTTCGATTATCTTACTTTTATGTACAAAATAATGAGAGGAATCAATTGGTAAAAGAAGTTGAAAATACCACCCTTCGATAGAGCGCACCTGATTTATAAAGAAAATGTTTTTACTTTTTTGAAATAACCACTTCTCTAGTTTTTAAATGGGTGATACGGGTGGTCTGAAACACCCTGTAGAAGTTTGACTTTAAATTCCGAATTAGTATGTCGATATATGTGAATAAAAAATAATTTTTTTTTATTCATCAGACATCGCCGAACTTATCGTCACAAGACGTACTGGAATCATTTCTTGTGAATCACAGTTTAATATGGAATCAAATAATGCGTTTCGCATTTGCTGGCACGAATCCTCGAATAGATGAGATACAATCACAAGTTTGTGAGCAGACGGAACAGCAGAGATTCCTGCTTAGAGAGAAATATACGGTGGACAAATTGTACGTGGTGATCGAGGACATCGCCAGTAGTTCCACTCTCGATATAAGTGCAGCGAGAGGTACATTAATCGCAGTTATAAAGAAACAAGATCCAATGGGAAACACAGCGAGATGGTATGTTGACACTGGAGTCACTCAAGGATTTTTGCCCTCTCAAAAATTGAGATCAGTTCAACGGCAAAATCAGCAACACGATCAAACTACGACGGATATCGCTGCTGGGAGGAACAGCTCGAGTCCTCCAAATTTGATGTCGCTAGATTCTCCAGAGAAGGAGATCAAGGCATCTGAATCTCATCTGCAAGATTTGCTCTTATTAGAAGAATCGAAAATAAATCGTCATTACGGCAACGTGCCAGAAACGCCGAGAGTTCAAGTTTATCAGAATATATATAGCGAAGTTAGTACCTTCTATCTTCGATTATACTCCAATATTTTTCTATTAATGTAATTTGATTTGTAGTTTTACTACGCGATGTATGATTTTGCTGGAAATATGCCGGGTACATTGCCTATTACTAACGGCCAAGCCCTTCGGCTCCTTAGACCTCATGACGAGAAAGGAAACGATGAATGGTGGCTCGTAGAGAATCGCGACGGTAAGCAAGGTTACGTCCCGCGGAATTATTTAAGTTCGACAAATCAAATTAAATCAAAGTCATAATGGTGAAATAAAATCAAATTAGGGCACATTTTATATTTATCATATTATAGTTTATTTCATTGTAAAATCATGATAATTAATCTAATTAAGAAATCAATCATCGATTATATACTGATCTGTTATTATTATTTTTATATCTGTTATTATTTCAAGGGATTTTATTTTATAAGAAAAAATATTTTATTAGCAAGTTTATTTTATAATGCAATATATGCCTATACAATTTTTTTATCTAATTGTGTGAAAGAAATGTACAAAAAGAAGCTTTATTTCGATATTAAGCCTCGAATTTAAAAAAAAGATGATCTATCAGGATATATCCATAAAAATACTCAAGATATTCTTAAATTTCTTGTTAGTGTTTAGCTTGCATTTGCTTAAGGGATTTTTACAGTCTAAGATTTTTACATACTTAAAAGTTTCAATATCACTATGTAATTGTTTTATGCATGTATATAAATGTACATAATGTTTTATCGGAAACATGTCTTCTTGTTGATGTTTAAATTATTTTCAATCATATAAGCTTAATAATCGATATTATAGCACAGAAAATTGCGATTTGCCTTTTCGCTTAAAACAGAATCGTGTTCTAATGGAACATTTTTACAATTTTTAATATACATATATATAACTAGCCTATACATCTCATATATATATATATATATATTGTGTGTGATCACATTTTTTTTATTTATATATTTTATTCATACTTCCATCACTCAATTGTATTGATTTTTCTATCGATCTTTTAGATATAGTTTCTAATGTATATTTATGCATACGTAAAATTTTTTAAAAATTATCTATTATTTTTAATATGAATATTTATGACAAAGAAATTAATAAAAATGATGCAAAAAACAAAACTAGTCAGTTTTTTAATTAAGATTAATTACTATTATTTTCATTGTAATTTTAGCATCATTAATATTAATTAGTAAATTATATTTAAAATTTATGTGCAAAGTAAAATTTCCGTGCAAACTAATATTTTTATTATTCACAGAATTTATTCATGTGAATGATAAACTATTTGTCATCTCATTTTCTTTGAAATTATTGTAAAGTAAGCTAAACAATTAGTATCACAATGAGTGTTATTTTTTTATTGTAATCTCTTAATCATTTGTAATCTTTTAATCAACACATTATTATCAAATCTATAAGCAACGACAGTTTGAATCGCGTATACGAAAGACCTGAAATATTTAATATAGATTATTTCCCGCGAAAAACAGTTAAATATGCTTTAAATATGGTTCATATTGCTTATTTATATGAACTAAATTAAACTCCAATAAAAACCAAATGTCAAATTTAAAAGTAATTAAATTTAAATGTTTTTAATATGCATCGAAATTAAATTTGAATACGTTCTTGCTATTAGAGTTAACTTGTCCAGACATATATATGGATCATAAATATTTAATAAGCATCTAATCAACCTAAATTTCTAATTTGATTTATATTTGGAACAAATAAGATTTTAATTAACATACAATCAGTATTAATTTAAATTAAATAAAATTCAAATAAAGGTTTTTAAGTTCATATTTAATTGTTTTTCGCGGATTAAGAGAAATAAAACACATTATTAGAAAAAAGAAAAGAGAATATATTGGCTACATTATCACCGTAATGTAATGCATTTACAATCAACAGTAGATACAATAATGTGACACGATGTGTGTACTACGGCGTTAAGCTGTCGCCTAAATATATATGATACAAAATAAAGGGATATACTGGTATACCGTTCGAAATAAACAAAACAGTCTTTCGAGCGACTTGCAAATGCATTGCAATCATTGGCGCTCGCGTTGTAAGCTAACGCGAATGAACTTACGCTAACTTAAGCTAAACGAAAAAAATACTGAAATACTCTAACATTAAACGACGATTAACGAGATATTTCGAACACGGTATACACGTTCGATGAAAATTTCACTCATTTCACGCAAGTTAAATGTTGAATTGTAAACTTCTATTATGCTCTTATTGTACTGATTATCGCTGATAAAACTCGGATTTCCGCGATTTCAATTTTACGAAATATGGCCATTGACAGATGTGACAACAAGACCTGGATTAGTTGAGAATCACCCACTATTTAACATCATATTTCCTTTGTTCTCGAAACGCAATTTACACTCTTGCATGCGACTCTCTTGCGCAATTTAAATACAATCTTAATTATATCGCATACAATCTTAATGAAATAATATGCGTTCTGCGCAAATATTTGCACGATAACATAAAGTGACGCATTAAATGATGATCATGATAATCATCTAGAAAGACCTTGGAAGAAGAAGAATTAACTAGGAAAATCATGGGCGTAGTCAAGGTGGAGGAGGGATTAGCTTTAACATAAATATTAAATATAAGTTCTTATGTCCCCCTTCAAGCCATACAACTTTTGTCTGAAATATTTTTTTCTACAATCAAAATTAAAAAAGTTATTCGGGATGATCAATTAAAATGGGACACCCTGTATAAATAAATAAAAAGTTTAGTTGAAATAATAAAAAATTTTATTTAGATTTTATTTGATAAATTCTTGCCCTCCCCTAGATAAAATCCTGGCTACGCCCATGAGGAAAATCAAGTATGGTCAAAAATAATATTTTAGAATTTAACCCCCTTATTCAATTGTTTTCGGCTTAGAAAGCATATATTAAAAAGTTTGCGCATTAATTAAATATATCGCTGATTTGTGGCGAAGCCGTACGCAACTACAATTTTTAATGTAAGAATGTCTCAAGAAGAAATGCGTTCACTTAAGAAGTATATTATAAAGAAATTTATCTCTTAAAATAATCCAGAATCTCTGAAGAACCTAGATCTATTTACGAAATGATTATTTCGTTTTTTTTTAATTTTTTAATTTTTTTATATTCACATCTTACGAGGACAGCTTAGTGTTTGTCACTTACATTCTTATAATTTTGTAGACATGTATTTATCGAGTTTTATATCATTTTAAGATTATCTCATTATATCGACATTTCATTTTACAATCGAGCAAATCTTTGCTCTATCTTTAGCTTAACGGAAAACTTATTCTAAGCTTATACAGGCATGACCGATTATTATTCTGAATTGACACTAAATATACACATATTTGATCTTGTGTTGCGATATCACTGCAGTATGCATTGAAGTGTGCTCATAAATATCGGACTTGTTTGGGTCCTACCAGTATTTTCTACTGCGCTAACAATATTCGTCGATGCGTTATTTATCGAAAAAACGCAGCAATTATAAAGTAATGATTTTATATATTTCAAATAATTGTAAGAATGTCGCGATATTGCACAATGATAGAAAAAATAGCGGCAAATGCCGACTAACATCGTAACGAATATCATTTAGTCGCTGGTTTGCGGTCTCATCGAATAATTTACTCGGTGATCTGTTACCTAATCCTAAGATTCCTTGTTTATATCGAATTTATATATTGTTAACATATATAAACCAGTCCTCTTGTCACGTTCAAATAGAGTTCAACAAGACTGTCTATGATATGGTGCATATTTGACGTAAACAAAGACTTAAAATTAAATCCAAATCTCGTTTCAAATCACATATTCTATATACGCGACGAAAAATATATACCTTCCTCAACAATCGCATACGCAGCAGTGATACCGATGAAAAATATGTTACATAAAAAAATCCTTCCGACATTCGTTTTAAGCAAAAATATTCGCTTTAATCCTTTCCATGTTATTGACATTTTTAAAGATACATCAGCGGCTTTTAAATAGCCATTATTAACTATGTAAATATTACAATGTATAGTATAGTTAATATGATTATTTCAAGTCGTTCTAATCCTTTAACCTTTCTATTGCTATTTCTAGTACCAACGACTTTAAGTAATCATATCAGCTATAGTATAAGTATGATTCTTTGTAATTGTCCGTACTTGGTAAAGAAACTCATAAAAGTTTCAATGTACATCGACGGAAGTTGAAATTAGCGTGCGCATTATTATTTAATCCTGGCACGATAATATCGAAGCTTCATGCTCATTCTAAGGAAACACGCGTCGAACAACAATTGTATTGTTTTATGTTTCCGTATTTGATAATTTTCGTTTAAAGATCCATAAAGATATAATATTTTGTTTGCCTGCACGCTTCATCAAACTCAACACGCATAAATCGTACTATTATTCCTGATTTTGTCATGATAAAAAACGCATTAGATAAAAAATATTCAAGACACTCATTAATAAAAAAAAAAAAAATTAAAAGATACTTAAAAAAATTTTCAAGACACTCATTCATAAAAAATAGCATCATTTTCCGATAATGTCTTTCTTTGTCACGCTGTTTTTTTTCATATTATCTGAATATTATCTCGGTTCACTAGTTGCTTGTTGCCTGAAAGAGATGTCAATCCTTCAAATGATAAACGAAAGTTAGCCTGCTCCATTTCATCAATAAATATTTTCGACGAGAAAAAAATCTCCTGCGAGAAAAAGCTCTTTGGTTCATACATTATACGATGAGATCTTTCTTTTAAAGATGGTAGCAACTTTAAAAAAAGCAACACGAAAAATACTCGATAAAATTCAAATATAATTCGCATGTGTCATTGCTAATACAAGACGATAATTTATCGAGTCAACGATTAATGCTTGATCAACCATAAACCGGGAGATCGTTTTTTTCATTATGCGTAACAAGGTGTCCTATAAACTCTCGCGTGATTCCTGTGAGATCTACGACAGATTAAATCTCTTCAAGTTATCGCATCGTCGAATTTCACTCAATTAAGACCCCCCTTCCCTGTTCTTATATCTTCGTTCCGCATGACATATGCATTGTCACAACGCCTAATCTAAATTCTGGCTGTCAATACGTTAATAATTATTCCTTCACGATAGCCCAATTCAGCTTTAAACGCACGTCATCATAATCGTCATCACAGTTCTTCCGGGGCCGGCATCTTGACTCTTCGGTCGTCGTCATCGAATCTGTCTCCTAATCCGCGCGAGTGCGGAAAATTTCTCGGCGAAAAATCTCCTAATCCGCGGGGTAGAAGCGGAGAATCGCGCGACCTTGAATCTCCGAATGGCAAAGCTTTTGCACGACATCGAGGGCTTCCTCAGCGGGGTAGACGGTGTGCGGTGGCGGTTCAATCTCACCGGAAGCGACTAGTTGCACGAGCTCTCGCAATTGCTCTAGCGTGCCCAGTTCCACCGGTCTGATGGATTGCTGCCGCTCCTCGGCTCGTCGGCTGAACTTGGGCAACAGCCGGTCGGCGACCTCCTTAATCACGAACACTACGCCGCCTTTGCTGAGACATTGCATGCTGCGATGGAGGTTGCGTGAAGTTGTGCCGAAATCGATTACCACGTCCACCTGGCCACCGCAAGCATCCATCGTGCGCTCGATCAGCTGTTTCTCGTACAGGTCTTCGTTCCATTGCACTACACTCACTCTGTAATCGATATGTCAGTTACTGTCAGATGGGTCAGATAAGATTGCGAAATTTAAAGGACTTGCATCGAGTCATTTTTAACAAGAGCATTAAATTTGAAAATGTTTATTTTTAATTTTAATCCTAATAATTTTAATTTTAATAATTAATCTTAATAATTTTAACTTAAAGGACTTGCATCAAGTCATTTTTAACAAGAGCATTAAAAAATGTTTATTTTTAATTTTAATCTTAATAATTTTAATTTTATTTTTAATTTTATCTAAATAAATAAATTCTTTTAAATTGGTCTTATTGGTTCTTTTAAATTGGACACAAGCAGGAAGATCTAATTTTTATAAAAATAAATAGAAATATTTGATTATTAAGGTTAAATATAATAATTAATTAATCAATATAATCTTGAAAAAAAAATATTTTCTTTATTTTTACAAAAATAAATTTGTTTATATTCTTTTCTTCCATTCGATTAATTATAATTTGTCAAGATTGTATTGGTTAATTATTATATTTAACTTTAGTAATTGGATATTTCTATTTGACCTTCATTACACATGAGTATAATTGATCGAATAAAACTTACCGTTGGAATTCTTGAGCTATGAGGAGACCGTCATCTTTAAGAGTGGCTATCGTAGTAGTAACTCTATCTCTCATGTTGCTGAAGTGATACGACGCAATTCTAAGAGCCCACAAAGCAAGACCACCTGTGCCAACTACTAGAATCTTGCACACGCTCTTTTCACCTCTCTCTTTCAACAATGCCTGCAACATTTTATTATACACCTGAGCCTTTGTTTCCCTTTTCAATAGCATAGAAAGAATTTTTTTCTTAAATTAAATTCATTATTCAATAAAAGCTTAAATTTAATTGGTCAGATTTAACGAGTTGAGACTTATAATCAGATTTAAACAACTTTAAACTATCTTCAAAGAGAAGATCATTGTTCTTAAAGCATTGTTCTTAAAGCATCCCTTTGTCTAAAAAATTTCATGGCATATTTATTAATCTTTTTATACTCGCATTTAGCAAATGATAATGAAATACAGGTATCTGAAATGATGCACTAAACTTTAGGAGTGTATTCTAGAAGTCAAAATAAGACTTTTTTTTTCCTATGAACATGGGTCCGCAAATGAACCTCCCTTCGAGCTAGAGGCCTTTAAATTTGGGAAAAAATTGAAAATTGGCTGTATTTCAGAAAAAAAAAATGGTTTTGACGTTACCTATCATTCTCTCTCGAGAGAGAAATAAATTTAACAAATTTATTAAATTTATTAAATTCATAAATCTTATTTATTATATTTATAAATCAATAAATTTGCATTGCAGGTGTTTGATCAATTTCACACATTTTCGAATTTTAGCTCGAATGGGGGTTCATTTATGCACCCATGTTCATAAGAAAAAAAAGTCTTATTTTGACCTCTGGAATACGCTCCTAAAGTTTAGTGCATTTCAGATACACCCTGTATAAGGTACAGAATTATTAAATTTAATCGTACCTGCACGTGTTCGTGCGCAGCAAAGACGGTGTTCATGGCGAGGAGCGCCCCAGCTGGCAACATAGCCGCCACGCTGAGCGACATATTGTCCGGGATTTTAATCAGGTACTTGAGTTCGTGCACCACCAGGTATTCGACGTAGCCATTGGGAATGCCATCGTAGGGATAGAGGATAACGCGGTCGCCCTCGGCGAGTCCGCAATCCTCGGGCACTTCGGTGCCGAACGACTCGATCACGCCGGCCACCTCGTAGCCAGGGAACAGGGCGGCATCGCGCAGCCCATGATGCGGCAGGGACACCGGGTAGTCGCTTTCCATTGACATGTCGGCGGCCAGGCTGCTACCGCTCGAGACCGACGTCAAACTGGTCAGGCTTGACGATCGTCGGGGATGATAACATGCACCCGCGCATATCACCCGGATACGGGCACCGTGCGCTGGCACATCCGGTACGGGCACATCGAAGCTGAAGACGCAGTCCCGACCGGTCACGCTCGGGCTTTCGATCGAGAGTTGACGGCACAACTTATTCATTTTCCCTCTGTAACATGAAATTGACAACTTTTGTATTGGCAGAATATATAGGGTGTTTCAGATTATTATCTAATTTAAGATAATGCACTAAAAATGCAATCAATAAAATATTTTAACAAGCCAATTTTTAAATAAATTTTAATCATAGTGGATGTCTTGCAGACTGTAAGAATTTTTTATTAAGAATATAAAAGTATGTCAAGAATTATGGAAAATATTTCGAATTTTCTTTTTGTTTTTTAAATGAAATATATAGAGAAAGATTTATTTCCTCCTTTCATATCAAATTTGTATGTATAATATTAAGATAACAAGTAATACAAAATAATTATAAAAGATATATATTAATTATATAATTATAAAAGATAGTTATCTCTCTATCAGTTCTCTTATACTGCAAGAAATCTATTATGATTAAAATTTATTTTAAAATTGGCTTGTTAAAATATTGTATTGATTGCATTTTTAGTGCATTATCTTAAATTAGATAATATCCGATTTAAATTTTTTAGCAAGTGAGACATCATCAAGTAATATCATTGCACATAAAAAAATATATTTATACATAATGTAAATTTATTTGACGTTGTAGATGTACTATAATTATAAATAATAATCAATAGATCAATAATCTTTATAAAGTTTATTTATAACATTTAATGCGAAATATATTATTTCATCGAAAAGTTAATTTATTACGATATTATATTTACAAAATGTTTAAATCGAAAGAAGCATTAAAATAAGCATTATTTTTTAGTAAATTAAATTTCTTTATTATGAAAAAATATTAATGGCGTATAAAAAGAGTTTTAAATTTACGTGTAAAAGATTTTCTCTTAAATAAATACATCTATACATAAAATTTATATATTAAATAAATATATATTTTGAGCTGTTCTATTTCTTAAAATTCTGATATAGTTTATAACTAGGCAGCTTAGAAAGTGGAAATGCATATTAATGATATGAAATTTGCTGTTTGAAAAAATTTTTCCAGTAACAAGTCAAACCTGTGAATGTTTATTAAATGTTTATTATTAAATTAATTGTGATATATTTTCCTTCTTTAAAATCGTGTAGAAAATGATCTGATGCTGATGCTAAAGTTAACGGAAATATGTCATTAATCTTAATACATCAAAATAAATTAATGTTAATATGCCTGGGGCAAGAGGAAATCTGCCTCACGCGCGAATCAGCTGTTTCAATCTCTTGTAGAATACTTGAAAGCACGTTTTCGTATGAAGTATTTATAAATGTTGTGTAAGAAGTAGAAAAAATATAATATGTCCGTATTTTTTTTTTCAAAAACAAGTGCGGATTAATTTAAATAAACTTTGTAGATGTATGCCAATATGTTACAAAATGGATAATATAAAAAGTATTTTTTGACTCTAATATAATTATAATAACTCTTAGTTATATAGCACGTTTAATAAGTATTGAATAATAATATTATAAATATTGAAATAATACATATATAATTAAAATATTTTAAAAACTTATAACTTATATTAATTTGAAAATAGCGTTTTTTATTTTCTGAAGCTGTTTAATAAGGATCTATTCAAACTATTTCGTTACTTTATTAAATTTCGTTACAATAAAAATTGTCTGAAAAATTTCATAAATAAAACATAAACAAAAATCTTTCAAAAGCAAATCTTCTATTACAGTTATAAATAAATAATTCAATTTGCTAAACCTTAGATGTATAACGGTATGCACTATTATGAATAATTGACGCGGTTTACTGTGTCTTATATAAACAAATAATTAAGAATTAAAGGAAATATCGAAAAATAAAAATCTTATAATTGCCTACCCATTGTGAGAGATGGTTTTGTGAGCGATAGGCGCCATCGATTCCAATTCCACCGGCATAACAAATTCTTAATTAAATATATCTTTCAAAATCACTGCAGTTTTATTCACGCAAGAAATCTTGACACTGCGTCGATTCACGATCGCGTTTTATCAAGCACTGCTCCTTTGTATTTTGTCTGTGATTAAAATACAAATTTAAATCTTATAATTTTGCAAGAACTTGCAATATAATGGAGAACAAGAAAAGAACGAAATCTTCGCCGTGTTCATTCTACAAGAGAGAGAGACGCACTAATCCGTTGTGTCAGCGCGCGTTCGTTTTTATACCGCAGGCAAAGTGGTAGGTGGTAGGGAAAGTGAACGCAGAGAACACAGTGGAAGACACGCGTAGCACTCGCAGACCACGTGCACGCATCTGTTTTTCACGTCTATGAAGCACGACTGCATTGCTGGGGGTCGCGGGAGGGGAAAACGAAAAGAGGAGGCAGTGTTTGTTCCGACAATGATAAGATATAAATTGTGAGATAAATTTTTTTATATAAAATCTTATAGAGATATATCCCCACATATGCGTTCCACTACGATACATAGGTGATTAAATTGTAATTCTATAAATTACTTATCAATACCATGATGCACTACATTATTTAAAATCATATGATGCATTAATATTTAAATATGCAGAAAATATGAATCTTTGTAATATTCGGCGTATTGTTTATAAATTTATATTTTTTATTGTGCATGTGTGCGTGTATTTGATATGTAAATACGTTTCTATAAATAATGTTGACGAAATTCTTTCTCGAAATAATGTTTTCGAATAATTTCGTAAAATATATCGTATGGAAGAAAAATGAGTCAAACGTACATTCATCGTAATGCAATATTAACGAATTGTTCAAATTCTTCGTTTATAAATTCATTAGCTGTGTCATACGTGATGACGTGTTTAAACAGTATGACTGTTTGGCATATAATCGCGCAATTCTTCGACTAGCATATCTGTGCACGTTAAAATATTTTTTGATATGAAAATGAGAAAGACAATGACTTTCATGTGTTTCACGTATTTTATCATTTTTAACGGTGTCAAACGGAAACAAAAATATCTATGTCTACAAATTTTAATTGTTCTTCCGCTTATACAGAGTGTCCCAAAACTCATAATCAATCTTTTAAAGACAGATTTCTGGGATCATCTGAAGATGATTTTTCCTCAACGAAAATGTCGAGGCACTAATAATTTTCGAACTATAAGTGATTGGAAATAAGGGGTTTTTCGTAAACTAAGCTTTGTAGAAATAAAATATTAACAAAACCACATTCTTCGATTAATTTTAAATAGAGTTTACTTTAGTTGAGTTTTAATTTAAGACTTAATTGTAAAGATATATGATGACAAAAATCGGGGACATGCAAAAAATGATGACCTTCATCGACATTTTCACTGAGGAAAAATCGTCTCCAAATGATCCCAGGAATCTGTCTTTGAAAGATTGATTATGAGTTTTGGGACACCCTGTATAATAGTAATAATGGTATCAATTAGTTCCAATTTATCGTTAAATATTGCTATTATTCTTTAACTACGATAAAAAAATTGAACGTTAACTATACATCTCATACGAAAATAGCAATGATGATAAAGTTGTAGAGTAAATTGAATATAATAATGATTTTAGAGTACAATAATAATATAATATTAAATATAATATTAAAAGGTTTTTCTTTCAAGAAATTATTTTCAGATCTTTGTAGTTTTTCACTTAAAATATTCAACAATGATATCAATCAGGAATGGAGAAATACATTGAAAATTAAAAAAAAATAACAATATTAACTAAATTTTAATGAGAATAAAAATTATTTAACTTTATAAAAAGATCATAAAATTTTTATTATTAATAGCAAATATTTGTTTTAATATTTGTATCATAATGATTCATTACGATACAGACCTTACTTTGTCATATTCAACACATTTAAAATGAACAGATTAATAATTAATCGGTATAGTATTTTTTTATTTTAAATTTTGTACTTTTTCAAATGATTTCATCTTTTGGGAATTGTGAAAAGAATTTATTTAATTTTGTTTTAGTTATTATTTTTAGTTGCAAAACTAAAATATTTTAATTAAATTGAGAAATTTAATATAGAAACAAATTGAGTAAAAAGATTTCTCTCTGTGCATACAAGAATAAATGAAATAGTTTTCGCGCACTACTTTAGTAAATTTTTAATTAGATAAGCTATTTATACAGCTTCTATCTGGACATAATTCATTTATTGATTCATGATTTATCTATGATTTGTTAAATTTGCGCAATACAGATAGCATATATTTACCCTGCTATCAAGAAAGTGCTAACTATAATGCCAAGTTTTATCTTTGGATAATTAAACCTCTCCTGCAAAGAAGAGCACTATTTTCGACTGCACATATTGACTGCTATTTTATAAGGATGCTGAATTAATTTTTTACAAATTTAGTCATGCAAGACTGATTATATGAAACATTCATCATTTTGCATATAATAATAGGTGATTTGTTTGAGATTCCGGAAGTGCATGGTTGAACGGATTACTAAAAATAATCATGAATTGAGGCTAGCATTGAGATCCATGATTATGTCATGGTCATATTAATATTTAAAAATATTAGAAATATTTAAATTCTACAAAACGATTGAGATATTTTAAATATTATTAATTAAAAAAATGAATAATCAAATTTATATTTATAAATTGTTACTTATATAAATTTTATCTGTAACTGTTAATTTTTGAAAAAATCAAAAAAACATATTTATAATAATAAATATAATTAAGACATAAATATATAAATATACAAAGATATAATTATAATAAATTTAGAAGAAATATGTAAATAAATAACATTCGTATAAATTTACAAAATTTAAAAATGCATATATAAAAATGTATGTTTAAAATGTATGTATAAAATATATATATATATATAAATTTATTTTTTCATAAGCTTTGCAATAAAGAAATTTTTATTTTTTAGTAAATTTTATTTAAAAAAACTTTATATATATATGTACGTGTGTGTTTGTGTAAGTATCTGAGTGTATACGCGCATGCATGCACATATGTGTATATTCAGTTTAAATAAATCTTAGGAAAAAATATTTTTGAAGATATATAACTTAATTTTAATACTTAAAAACATTCATAATTAATGCTATTATACTATTGATTTGCGTTATTCGAGTAAATGTTAAACGTATCAACAAAATGAAAGATATATAGCGTTATTCGTTATATAAGCATTGTGCAATTATCGAACAACTGTTTATGATCATAGCCTGACCTCAATAAAAATTAAACAGACAACATATTTATCAGTTCTGAAGTATAATTGTATATTTTTAACGTTATCACGTGTTAAAATTCACGATATAAATATAAACTACAAATTTATGATCACTTCACAAACATTCATTAATAGCGTGATCAAAAAATCTCATAACGATCGTATATAAAGATATCTGAAAAATCAAGATAGCTGTTGAGTTTCTTTGCAAAATGAAAATAATTATTGAAAATAAAATTAAATTATTAAAAAATAATACATTGCGATATATATCTCTTTTAAATGCCAAAAATATTAATTAATAATAAAAAGAATTTTGTCTTTAATTTTAATAAGTTGATAAAAATATTTTTATATATAGTATATATTAACGAAACATATATATATATATATATATATATATATATATATAAATAATTGCAATATATTATTTTATAATAATTTAATTTAATTTTCAATAATTATTTTCATATATATATATATTGCAAAATTATTTTGCTATTCTATTTGTTTTACATTCGATATTAATTTCGATATTAAGATCGCAAAAAATTCTCCTTTGTTTTAATAGCTATAAATATAATGAGAAATATATGTAATACTTAAAATTTTATTCTTATTTGTCTTATATCTCTCTAAATATTTTATATCATTTGTATTTTTATATACATTAAAGTTTTAAATAATTAAAGTATTTAAAATAATATATTTAAATAGTGTACAGCAAATCTTAAAGAAAGAAAAGAACTTTTTTTAAGTTTCAGGGGATTTCTTTAGCGTGAACGCATTATATAAAAATTTTTATATAAAAATTGTAAACAATTTTAACTTATACATTCTTTTATTACAAATGCGGATGTTTTAAATATTTTAAATAACGGATATATTGTTGAAAATACTTAATAATTACGCTAATTATGCTAGAATTAACATTAGAATTAATATTATTGAAAGGGAACACACATAACACATACTTCTTTTCTCTTCTCTACTGATCCTCAATCTCAGAAGAATCATTTATCATCTAATATAAGCTACGTGTGTGCGGATACGCGTGTGTATGTGTGTGTGTGTGTATCTGATAAAATCTAAATAATCCTTTCTGGATTATTTGGATTTAGTATATATTATATAAAATCATATGTGTTATTTTCCCAACAATGCAAAATTTTCAAACGTTCAGTAGAGGATAATCTTTATTTTTATTTCGTTATATTCATCTTTTTGTTGATTAAAAAATAAGATTTTCCCTCTACTTGTAATTAAACTAATCAGATACAACTCATAATATTGTTTTTTTAAAAAGAATTAATTTCCTATCTAGATAAAAAACAATTAATGTTATCTGCAAATCATATGCAAGTTATCATTAACTGTTTCACGATCATTAAAAGATCTCGGTAGCTTTTTGCTATAAATCTAATTGTAAGTTTATAATATATCAGGGTAAATTTCAAACACAACTCAGGAGTGATATTATGATAGCTCAGGTTAGAAAATATTTTTTATCCATTTCTGTAATCAATGTTTATGATATGATTATTCGATCATTGCAATGATCAAGTTAATGTGTGCAAATTATTTATTTATATTGAAAAATTTTTATTTTGCAACTTGAATTGCAAAATAAAAATTTATTCTACTTTGAATATTTTAATAAACGCTATTCATTAATTAATTATCAGTGTTTAATCTGGAATCATTTATATTTCTGTAATCACGTGATCTACCTGTAAACAAGTGATGATATTAAGAGATATGTGCATTACTCATAAGACGAACTTGGACTCTGTTTTCTGAGGATAATTACTTTGTTGACTTTTGAAGCTCACGTCATTAGATTTTCCCAAGTCAGCATGAAATAATTTATTACAGAAATAAAAATAAAATTGCTTTATCATGATTTTAATAAACGTTCAGAAATATTTATTATGTGGATATTTCCAAACTCGAAATGCTT